TCAAAACACAAAGGGGAAAGTAACAGTAATTTGGACTTGGCTTCCATGCAAAATGGACCAATTTTTTTAAGTGTCGGTAATTTGTCCTGAAAATGGATATAGGGAGTTGGGCTGGAAAGGCTTTGAAGAGTGGGTTTTATGAGTGGAAAATGAGGCCTGCGTGTGCGAGAATGTGCGCTGCACTCCCCTCCGTGCCTGGGACAGTGCGGCACGCGCGGGAACCACAGCTAATAGCACCATTACTGCCATTATCACATTACGTTATTATTATTCATCAGAATCAGGCAAAGCATATTAACCCATTTAATTGAACCAAGAGCTTAAGGTCCCAGTGACCGTGGACAGTGCTTAGCAAACCCTCCCAGACATCGCGGCCATAAAGCACCGGCCGCTCTGCCGCTCGCCGAGCTGGCCTCTCTGGGCACTTTCCCGGGCGCACTGGGGTGATGCCCATTCCCACCCGACTGCAGCCTTCCAGGCACACACCTGTGTGTACATACCCTGTGTGTAAACCCCATCTAACAAGGAAGCATTTACACAAAAGACACACACACACCAAGAACCCCTATTCTACCCCCCACGCTGGAACCCTATTGAGTCACCGAGGCTGGTGCTGAGTACTGACTCCCACCATTTGTGGTGAACACCTGGCTTCTCCTGAGCTTCGTACCCACTCCTCCAAAGCTGCTCGACTCTCCCACGTGCAGAGACCTGCGCAGCCTCTTGGGGCAGTGGCCACGGCCCCTCTGATCTAGCCCCTGGGCTGGGCTCTTCCCTGGGACACAGCCCGGCCTCCCAGAGCCCAAGTTTCCTCCGTCGGATGGGCACTGGGTCTACCTGCTGCCCCTCAGTTTGCTGTCAGGCTTCGAAGAGACCCGGGCGTGACCAGTACGTAGGTTTCCGGGTGGGCTGTTGCTTCACACAAACCTGTCCTTGATCATCGCACTGACCTCCTGTCGCTGGAGAAGCTCTGCGTGGGGAAGCTCTTGCTTGGTCAAGGTGCCCGGCCCCGCCCTTCCACATCCTCCAGTGCCCCAGCCGGCTGGCCCCACCGGGAAATATCTTGCTTTATTTCCTGGAGGACAATGGCACTTGAGGATGCTGCTCTGCCCCCGATCCTCCCCGGGGTCAGGAGCTACCACTTGAGTGGGACGGCATCACCCTCCACCTTGAAGTCCATTTCCTGGGCCTGGGGCAGCAAGTAGGTCCTGGCTCGAGCTCAGCCCAGCCAACCTCTAGGGGGGTGACAGCCCGAGACCGGCAGACCAGGGGTTAAGAGAATGGACTGTGGAGTTAGAGCCTGGGTTCAACGCACAGTGCTCCCACTTCCTGCCACAGAACCTCTTAAGCCTCCGTTTCCTCATCTGCAAAATGGAAAAATGTGAGGACATGTGTATAGTGTTTGACAATGTTGTCTGTGATCTAATAGGCTTAAAATAACTCCTGGGTCTCTCTGCCTACTTTCTCCCACCCCATCGTGACTCGACAGCTGGCGTATCTTGGGTAGTCCATCACTGCCGCCCACATGTTAGGATTAGCCCTCCCCGACTGGCGCTGGGAGAAGAAATATCTATGGGTGGAGGAACTGAGGTATGATTGAAAGTCAGGTCTGAAGTCAAGGGTGAGAATGGGAAAGGAGGAATCAAGGCTAACTGGAGCAATCTGGGAAGGCTTCCTATTAGAGGGGGCCTGGGGCAGGGTGTTGAAAGATAGGATTAGAATGGGTGTGCCAGAGGGGAGGTGAGACTGAGCCAGGCAAAGGGGGGCCCTGGAAGGCATAGGGGGAGGAAGAAGGCAAATAGGGGAGCCTTAAATGCCAGGTGAGGGGCAAGGCCACTCTCAGAGGCAGCGGGAATCAAACCCGCCAGGTTGCTGCCCTGCTTCCAACTGCCGAGCTGAGCACTCAAGGTCCGCAGGATCTGGCTCCAATCTCCGTCCCCAGTTCCCCGCCCCACCCCACCCCACACTGAAGGCTGCAGCCACACCAACTTCCCAGCACTCCCTTCCCCTCTTTCCCATGTGCCTGAGGTTCCTTCTGCCTGGAATGGCTTCCACCCACCACCCACCACACACACACACACACACACACGCACCCTACTGCTTCTTCCCCCTGGCCCCGGCTCCTCACTGCATGGATCCATCCAGTCTTGCTGGTATCCGGTAGATTTCTCTGTCTCTCCCATTTCTCTCATTCTCCACCGAGGAGGAGAACCAGGAGCTGCCTTCCCTTCCAGCTCTGCAGTCCTGGCTCTCCCATTCGCCAGGGGCTGCATCACACCAAGCAGAAAGCACTGAAACTAGAACCTGGGAAAGGTGAGGCCTGTGGCCGACCTGGTGGAGAGTGTGGGAAGAGTGGGCACTCGTGTGTTACTAAACCTCTGTCACGTCTCGCTCCTTTCTCCCTGGTCCCCACCCCACGACTGGAATCAGCAACCATCACCACTCCTTTCTGAGGAGCCCCGTTAGGAACTCTGCTCTCTTGAGCCTGTGGGACGATGGAGCAGGCCCGGGCAATTGGGGGCTAGGGACAGACACCAAAACAGGTGGGGATACCCTGAGCGCACAGCCTGGCCTGGTAAAGGGCACTGTGTTTTAGGAGGAGTCCTGTCTCACCCACACCTGAAGAACACAGAGGGGTACAGTTCCTAGCATCGCAGGATTGGACTTCGAGGGGCTGCTGGAATACACAGGAGAGCATATTCTCAGACACTGCCTGGGTCTCCATAACACAGGCCTGCTTCCTGCTGGTGGAATCAACAGCAATTTTTTTAAAAATCTGGTCACTTTCCAAACACCTCCAGATCCTTCTCACTGGGGGAGGGCCTGGCTGTGACCAGAAGACTCGGGCCCAGGTCCCCACTGCAGCCCCCAAAACACCAGGCTGGCCAGATGGAGATGAGCAGACCACTTGGGGACAGCTCTGTGGGATCCCGGGGCCGGGGGTGGGGAGGAGGGTCCTGCTTCCCACCACCAGGCCTGGACAAGCAGAGCCACTCTGCCCCGAGCAAATCAACTGAAAGCCTGGGCCAAGCCTGTTTGCGTTGGTGAGAGCCCAAGTGGGAATTCCAATCTGCCAGTGTTTGCTCTACAGGCAAATAGAGCCAAACAGAAATGCTGCTTTGGGACTCTGCGCCAAATATCCGTCGGCCTACCCTGCCAGCAGTGTTGGGCCAGCCCTCCGCATGTCACCACTCACAGTTCTCTGCTCTGTGACAGCCTTCTGCCTTTGCCCTTAAAAGCAGCTCGCCACAGCCCAGTGGCCCATGCTCATGACTTCCCTGCTGGGCCTGGGACCCAGACCGTCCCGCCAGGCCCGCCTTGCGTGTGCCCATTCTGCACCAGCTCCATCTGGGGGCCCAGTCACCCCCACCCTCCGCGGGAGCCTGACCGCTGCTCCCTGCTCTTACTTCTTACTCTCTTGCCACCGCGACTCAGCCCCTGACTGGCATAGCCCACTCTGCATCTGGCCACTAAGCAGAGGCAGAGGTGACAGCCAGAAAGCACAAACCATAAGTTGACTACGTCTTTTTTTATTTGATCCTTATATCTGGTCAGTTTATCAGCCCATTTCTCAGAAGAAACAGCTGAGGTTTCCAAAGGCCAGACATATTGCCTAAGGTCACCGGATGAAGGAATCCAGGGCTCCTGACTCCAAAACCTCAGTGCTTTCTCACTTGCCTCCCTGAAGGAAGTCTCAAGATGCCTGGGGCGTTGCCCAGGGGGCCCAGTGAGAGCAGGTGGATGTGTTTTCATATCCCCCTGAACGAGGTTGGCACAGCCAGTGTGAGCACTTGGCAATGTCTGCTTTCCCTCCTTCCCCCTCAAAGGAGCCATTGCCTAAGGCCCGCCTGCCCTGTGCCCACCCACCAGAGCACCCTTAGAAGCCACTGGCCCTCCTGGTCAGGCATTGAACGTATAGGCCCTGGCTTCTCCCTGCCCTCCTAGGGCACAGACACCCTGCTAACTTCAGGCCCACCTCCCCAGGCATTGGCACAAAGTTCTCTCCAACCCAGGGAGCAGCACAATCCCTGCCCCAGGGGGCTCCCCAGAGCATGGCCACAGGCTGCACTCTCCAGAGCTATCCTTGGCATTGTTCACACAATTCTCAATTTGGTCCTGAGAGTGTGAACATTTGCAAATGGAAATGACTTAAGTCTCTTGGAAGATGCGCGCTCTCTGCAAACAAATATTGTTACTTCCTCAGGGAAACTTTCTTCCAGTCTGACTGGACTTCTGTCTCCCCTACACAACCGTAGGCACCAGGGGACCAGGACTAGATTGTGGGCTCCTCTTCACAGAACCCCCAGTACCCAACACAGCTCAGTAAGCAGTCCATGTATAAATGAAACCATGAATATAGTTTCCATCTGCCCTTGTCATGTGGCCTCAGGGGTGCTGTCACCCTGGCCTAGAGCCCTTGGGACCCTTTTGTCCAGTCACTCTCAACTCTACTTGATGTGTTTTCTGCTGACCTGACTCCCCGTGTGGGTCTGGGATCTTTCTGCACTCAGCTATGGGTGCTGGTCTCCCCCACCAGGTCTCCCCAGAACCCGCCCTCCCTCTGTCTGAGATGTCACTGCCAAGGTGACAAGCCTCAAGAATACTCCCCAGCAGTGGAGCAGAGGGCAACAGCCAGACCTCTGGCCTGGCCCATTTGGGAACAGGGGGTACCAGGCACCCTGCCCTACCTGGGCCTTCAGATGGCTCCATCATGACCAGAGCAGTTGGTGTCAGGCCCTGGGCAGCTCTGGCAGTCACGTGGCTAGGAATGTTGCAAAAAATTGCACGTTTTCCGTGGGGGGTCCTAACCAACCATAAGAGGGGAAGCAGCCCGAAGTGCTTGTTGCAGGCCAGCCAGACCCGCCCACCCTGAGCTCCATGGCCGCATAACAGAGTCCTGCCAGTCACAGCTGCACGCCTGGTGCACGACCACTGCAAGCCTAGGAGAAAGCAGAGACGACTCCAAAGAGGGGTCCCCAGAGCAATGGGCCCACAGAGAGCTGCAGCTCTGCCAGGTGTGGGGACGGCCCATAGGTGAGCCCAGAGAGGTTCCGAGGGAAGAGGCCACATCAGCTCAAAGGGGCCAGGCACTCGGGGCTGCTAGGCCTGGAGCCACTCAGGTGGCTTTCCCAGGAACACAGTGGGGCCCTGCTGCTGGGGTCAAGGAAAAGAGACCCAGTGTGGCCCTGGAAGAGGCCACTGGCCCGGAGGAGTCTTGAGCCTCCTTCTCCCACTCCAGAGGCCTGGCTGTGTCATGAGGTAGATGGTGTCAGAGGATCAGGCTTCATGGGCACCTATCCAGACCCAACCCCCAAAGGTGGGGAAACGCCATGATCACAGCAACCGTGAAGAGGCGGGTTCAGAAAGCCTGTGTTTAATGGGGGCTGCCCCAGCCTGGGAGGCCCTCAGCGCCGCGTGCCCAGTCGCACTACTTCTCGTCAACCTTTGCCGAGGAGTGGAGCTGCTTCTTCCGGGGCAAGTCATCAAGCATCAGGTTCAGCACGTGCACAATCTCGTAGTACAGCTCCTGGAGCCTGCAGGGGGCAGGAGAGGGCCTGAGCGCAGGGGCGGGCTCTATGCCACCGGGCTCCCCCATCCCACGCCTGCACCTGGCACTCACCACCCCTAGCAGGTGTGGGGCCAGGAAAGAGCAAGGACTTTAGAGCCCCGTCAGGGACCGGAACCCAGGTCTGCCATTCCCCCTGTGGCCTGAATGGAGTTATTTCACTGCATGAGTCAGGTTGGGGACAACAAACTCCTGGGCTCTGTGTGGTGAATAGAGAAAACCAGCCCCTGCCTGGTCCACTCTGGGCCAAGGTGGATGTTCCCTGATGCCCTCCTTCTAGTTCCGCCTGTCCACGAAGCCCTCCAAGAGATGTCTGTCAAGAAGCCAAGCTAATCCTGTCCCTCCTTGTTCAAGAGCCCAAGGTGGCTCCTTAATGCCCATGCCCAGTTCCCCTTCCTGGCAGTAATGGCCAGTAAAACCCCAGCTAACTTGCACGAAGCACAGTGCTGGGCCAGGCCAAGCTCTCATTTCCGTAGAATTGGCCCAACAGCCCCTCATGAGGCAGGTGGGAAAGGGGCAGAGACTTGCCCAGAGTCACAGAGGAAGGCCCTAGCAGAACCAGGCCAGGAACCTCAGCTCTTTCCTCTGCCCCTGAGAAAGGGTTAGTGAGAAGGGGCCTGGAGAGTCCAAGGAGCCAGCATTTAAATGCAGGCCAGGGCAGGCTGGGGAGGGGCAGGGGGCAGAGTCCCCCAGCCAGGGGCCTGTCCACACCTCAGCCCAGCCCCTGTGCATACATGGAACGCTGTACCCCACGAAGGGCCTGGCTCTGCCCAGCCATTGCCCCCTTGCTTTCCCAGGGCACCTGGCATGGCCCTGCCCTCAAGGAAGTGAGACCAGGAAAGTCCTGGCACCCTAGGGCTAGGTCAGTGGTGCTGGGACTGACTTGTAAATCGTAGCGTCCTGGTTGTCCAGAGTGGACAAATAGATGTCGATGAAGGGCAGGCTAGTGCCAAAATCATCCAAGACCATGGGGTCAGTGTGCTCCAGGGTGTTCTTGAAGTTCTCCACCAGCTCACCAAAACTTTTGTAGTCAACATTTGCCTAGAGAGGGAGGCATAGAGAGATCAATGATAAGGAGGAGGTGAGTCTCAAGATGTACAGAGTCCTGGGGACCCTCCACAAGGGGCCCAGGCAGAGGGCTGACCCTGGCCCTGTCTGAACTTGGACGCCCTGACCGAGGGAGCCTCCTGAGCTACCATCACTGAGAACAGGGGACACAGAAAGGGACCAGTGAGAGAGCCTGAGTGGGGTTCAGCATGGCCTCACCTGCCCTGAACTAACCTTCAACACAGTCAAGAAAGGCAGATGTCTCTGCCTCAGAGCAGAGGCTGAGGAGGGAGGTGCTGACCACGTGGGGAGAGAGGGGCAGAGTCCGGCTCAGGACCTGGCAGAGCACCAGGGCTCCATGTAGGGAGCTCAGAGCACTTGGGCTGAAAAGAGAAGACGCCCAGCCCTTTACAGCTGTAACATGCCTGACAAAATCTCCAGCCTGTTGTGCTCATTCTTGTTCAGTTTAGAAAACCAGGTTAGGAACACCTGTCAGGGCCTCCATGGCCTCGCCCATGCACAGGACGGGGCCGTGCCTCCTGGCGCCCAGTGAGGCCTCGGTAACAAGAGCACTCCAGGCCAAGGCCCAGCAGACCAGCTCTGCCGGGGAAGGAGGGGGATGCTATTGTGACCACAGCACGCCACATTCACAGGTCCAGAGAAATACTAACGTGCAGGAAATAAAGCTTGATTCTGGAAAATACAGGAGCTATTACCTGCCTCACCTAAGGCCGCAGGTGCCTGAGGCCACCTTCCACTCCCGTTTTTTGGCCATTGCTTCAGCCCTGACTGTCCATGCACGTGTTGTCCACCTGCCTGTGGAGATGACCTTACCTGTGTCTGCATCAGCCTGCTGACTTCCTCCTGCTGCCGCTTCACGATCACCTGCTTCCCTTTCATGAGCGTCATGTGCCTCTCCAGCAACAGCTCCCGCTCAAACTTTTTGATGGAGTTCTGGAGAGTGGGGTGACAAGAGAAAGTGAGGGCTCCCATGGCATACCACCACCAACCCCCGCCCCTGTTTTTCTTCTTCCCTAGCCTTGCACTGCTGCTCAGACCCCTTAGCAGGAGGAACCCTCCATACAGGGCCAGCCCCCAACTCAAGCTGCCAATGCAGCTGCAGTGACTTCCCACGCCCCTGCCCACCTAGCCACCTCCCCTCCACTTTAGGAGAGACAGAGTTCAGGTCCTCCCTGGAGACTTGGCCCACAGCCCCGCCCGTCACCCCAAAGCCAACCCCCAATCCTATGCATGCAGCCTCACCTCGGTGTGGATGATCATCACACCCACGAACATGCTGAGGAATACGAAGGAGCCAAGCAAGATGAAGATGATGGTGAATGCTCGGCTCAGAAAAAAATCCCTGCTGTCCAGCTGCTGCTGCAGGTCTGTCCAGCCATCAACCTGCTCGGGCAGGGGAAGGCATGACAAGTGTCAAGGCCCAGTGGTGTAAGCCTCCTGCTAACCTACCTTAGGGGAGCCCTCACCCCACTAGATGGAGGTTGTCACTTCCTGCATATCAGCCCTTAGCACACACACCCCAATCCACTGAGTCCAGTGCAGACAGGTGGCCTGGTGGTACAGGGCACCACTGTGTGGGGGCACTTCTGGCCAAGGTGCCCTGGGGGTCTGCTCCAAAAAGCTTCCTGTCCTTCCCAAAAGACATGGTCTCCCTGCCAAGGCCTTCTTCGGATAGACTCCAGTCTTTCCAGAGCTCAACAGAGTCCAGACTTCTAGACTTGGGTGGTTTGGTGACAGTCTGTTCCAAAAAGGCTATGTGACATGGGTTTCACTTCTAAATTAAACTTAATCCAAATGAATCATCTTTTGAGAACTCTGAAATTTTTACAATCCTGTGAGACAAATGGGAATGCTCTAGGGAGTCACAAGATTAGAGACAGAGAGGGACCCCTGGTCAGGGCACTAGCTTCTGCCTCAGCTTCCCCAGCCCAGAAAAGTGTCCAAACATGGGGAAGGCCCCACGGGAAGCCCAGAATGTCCACACACTCACACCAGCTGACAGTCTCTTCTCAAGGCTCCTTCCCCCACCACTGTTCCCAAACACCGTACCGTCGCCAAGCTGAAGAGGGTAAAGAAGGCCACAGCCAGGTTCCCCCAGTTTTCCTGGTCACCCTTATCTGGAGCTCCAAACAGGCAGAAGCCCAGGATAGCGAAGATGTACATCAGGATGAAGAACAGGATGAGCACGGAGGCCACAGTGTAGAATGTCTGCCCAATGGCGGTGATGAGCGTCTGCAAGGCAGAGGCACAGGACTAGGCAAGGCTGCAGGTGGGGGTGGGGCTCAGGGGCAGAGGTCCAGTCTGCCCAGACCACAGCTGTGCCCAGCATCCAGTGCCCTGTCTGCATGTGGTAGATACTCCGCCAATGGTTGGATGGAGAGATGGAGGGGTAAAGGGAGGGAGGGAGGGGACAGGAGTGGAGGAGGGAGAGGAGCTCTGCCAAGTTTGAGGGCTGAACCAATGCCTGGCCTCCACTCTGTCATCTATGGGCAGATCGTGTGCTGTCTCAGGTCTGGGTAGTCTACCCATCAGCCACTTGAACCCCTGCCTGGGGTCATCCCAAGGTGTCCTGCTTCTCCCTGAGGGCCAGCCCTGAATGCTCTCTCAGGCCCAGGAAGAAGAGGGAGCCACTCGGGTAGTGGGAATAAAGAGGGCTGAGAGGAAGGTGGCTTCCCATTCTCTCTGGGCCCCATTTCCCAGGCAAGTCCCTGTCTTATGAACTTGGTCTCACCTCCCACTACATTGTCCCCTGCTGGGAAGCACTGTGCATAGCTCCTCATCAGTCATTCCTGAGTGATGACCCAGGGTCTTGCATGTAGTAGGTGCTCAATACATGTTCACCTACATAGACGCTGTCACAGACGTCATTTCAAGATAGGTAGGTGTTATCATTCTTCCCACGCCAAGATGAGGGGTCAGAGGCTCAGAGAAGAAAAGGGCTTGGCCAGGGTCACACTCCAATAAAGTGGCAGAACATGGGCCCAACTCTCAAGACCTTTGCCTTATGCCACCACCTTCACTCCAAGGCCTCCCCAGAGAACCCTCTCTTGCCTGAGGACATCACTCCTCAGTGGACCTCTCGAAGGAGTCTGCCTATCCCCCATGACATGATGCAGGAGGCCACCCTCTGCCCTATCCTCGGAGCCTCCGCCTCCATGGACAAAGCCCCTGCTTCTGAGCAGGGCAAACCTTCCAGCTTCCCTCTCCACCTTGTGTCTCAAAATCTCTCCCCCAGGCTCCACCCCATCCTGCTGCCATCCTGGGGGCCTTCAGAATCTCTGTGGATACCCACCATCCCCCAGGTCTCCTTGTCGCTTGATTTCCTCATCTCCAGCGACCCTTGCACCACTTTAGACCTTCCTCCCTTGGTGCCCCTGACCTGGCACTTAGCTCCCAGTTTTCTCTCCTGACCACCCACCTTACTCTTGAACCTACACTTCGACTCAATGCCCAGCACCTTCGATACTCCCATCCCCACTTCTAGGTCACCTAACTGTGTCTGTCTCTAGCCTACAAGCCAGGGGAGCCAGGCTCAGGTTTCCAAAGGAAGGGTGTCCTGACATGATGTGCACTTTAGAGATTCCCCCAGCTGCTGGCACATTTCTGTTCCAAAACACTCAGTCGTGTGGGAAGTCATTGCAGGAATCCAGGTGAAGGTGGATGGATGGTGATGGAGAAAATATGATGACTATGGGGATGGAAAAAGTCAATAACTATTTAGGCCATACAACAGGACTTTGGGTGAGAGGAAACAAAGCTAACATTCAAATTTATTACTTGGAAGTTGAATAGGGTTGAAGGAGTGCCTTTCAGCAGAAGATAAAGTAGAGGAGGAGGTGCTAAGGTTTGTGATCTGAGAGTGGGGATGGGGAAGAGTGATGACTTCTACTTTAGACACATTGAGTTTGAGGAGCACGTAAGATGCTCAGGAGGCAGTTGGGTCTCAAGGTCAAAGAGAGAGATGTGGGCAGGTAAAGACTCCTGAAAAGTGGAAAAGATCACCCAAAAAGAATATACAAAGAGGAGAACTCAGGACATAGTCCTTAGAAAACAACACTTAGGAGCCAAGCGAAGAAAATATGTACCCGAAAAGTCATACCCAAGCGGCAGGAGGAAAACCAAGAGGAGGCAGGGACAAGGATGCCAAGGGAAATGGCCAGTGGACTTGGCGTCAAGGAGGTTGTTGGTAACCTCAGAGAGACTAGTTACTTCAAGTAGAGGGAAGAAGCCAGGGCATTTATGCCAGATAAGGAAGCAGGGTCTGGGTGTATAGACACCTCTTCCCAAAAGTTTCACCACGAGGAGGAGGGTTGGACTACATTGTTTGGGAGGGGACACATACACGTGTGTGACTATGTGAGGGCAGGGAATGAATGACTGGGGCCCTGTGGCAGGGGGAGCCCTTTAACATTCCCCTCTTCTCCACTTAGGACTGGGGTCCCTGAGTGGCAGGCCTAGGCCCTGGACAGACACACAGGCTAGGCTGGAAGCGATTTCTCAGCCAAACAGGCTCACACACCCTAACTGGTCAAGTTGGCCCAAACCGGCCCCTTCCTGGAGGAGCGTGGACACTGGGTGCCGAGCCAGGGCAAACATCCTGCACAGGTGGAATGCTACGGGAACGCTTGGGTCAGCTCTGAGGTTTGTTCTGAAACCTTCTGAGTCAAGGAAAGGCTGGTCACCCCTTCTCCGCAGGAGCAGCACTGCCAGAGCCGCCTGAACCAACTAATGAGACTGTTCCCGTCCACAGAAGCAACAGATTTGTAGCTGTTGGGGGAAAGCAGGCTACCGGGAGGCTGGAGCCCCGGGCATGTAGTTAGAAGAGTCTGTGCCGTAAGAAGAGGGTCCACCTGGCAGCACGGGAGAGAGGGCAAGTCCAGGTGGCCTCTGGAGCCAGACACACCTTTCCGGTCTCTGGCATCACCTGCTGAGCAACCTGGGGCCTCAATTTCTTTATCGATAAAATGGGGCTAATCATAATCTTTCCTACAAATGTTTTAAGATGAACTGAGATCATCTCAGCAGTGATCAACCTGCTATATAGTAGAACTCAATGACTGGATGCTAGGAGCACAATTATTATTTCACCAGGGGCTGGTGGGCAGACAGACCCTGTCACCTGCCCTCCCGGAAGCACACACTCCTGGGTTACTCACCCGGATGCCCCGGCTATAGGTGATGAGCTTGAGGATGCGCAGAGACTGCATGCCACTAGCGATCTTGAGGTGAGGGTAGTGCTTGCCCTTGATCTTGTAGAGAGCGTAGGGGAATGAGATGACGATGATCAACATCAAGTCTAGCAGCTTGTAGCCGTCCTTCCAGAAGCCAATGGGGTCCGCGTAGAGATTCATGTAGAACTCGGCGCTGTATATGGCCACAAATAAGATCTCTGAGATCTGCAGAGGCGGCAAGGTTTGGGGGATCAGACCTATAGTCTGGCCTTCTCCTTGCTTGGACCACCCAACCAAGTGTGTGCCGGCTGGGGGTAGGGGCTCTTAGGTCACCCACTTGAGAGAGATCCAGGCAGAGTCCCCGACACACAGTACACATACAATGTGCCTGATTCCCTTCTCCTTCTGTGTCTTCCCTGCCCCCCTCTCCC